GCAGGCATAATATAGACTAAGATCTGTATAAAAGAAAAGGCAATTAGTATAATCATTAATTAGGAATGACACATTAATTAATACTATAGAACACAGACTTAGGTAAGCAATGGCATAGGAGAGAGGGAGGGAGGAAAGGAGAAAGAAAGAGAGAAAGGGAAGAAAGGAAAGGAAAGAAGGAGGGAGGGATTATAGGATGGAGGGGGGAGGGAAATAATACCATGGTGAAATACATAAGGACAATAACAAAATATGTAGCTTGGTACCAGACTGAATACGAATCACCTTAATTCTATAAGCAATGGGGGGAAATCAATATACGTTTTAGAGTAAAAACAAAAAAATATTAGACTACCCTTTAGAAAGATAATTCTGCGAACAGTCTAGGATGGAATAAAAGGCATACAAAACTGGATGCTGGGTGACCAGTTAGAGAGAATATAAATAGTAGGAGCCTAAAATTGTACAGTAGCAGTTTACTCTCATTTTTAATCATAAGGGAAAAAATCTTGCAGTCTTATAAATTATAGATACAAGTCTGTATTTTCATTTTATAGAATCATGGTCAAAGAACAATTTAACTCTACATACAGCATGAGATTCTGAAGCCTGGAACAGGAAAGCATTTTAGTGGAAAAACTTGTAAAGTTCATAGTTGTAGTTTCTAGTATCATACCCAAGGTTAATTTCTTATTCCTCAGAAATGATCTATGTTCACATAATATGGTAACAAGAGGAAGTTGGGTGAAGGAATTACAGGAATTATCTGTGCTATTTTTTTTAAAATATATTTTATTGATTTTGTATAGAGAGGAAGGGAGAGAGAGAGAGAGTTAGAAACATCGATGGGAGAGAATCATCGATCCGCTGCCTCTTGCACACCCCCTACTGGGGATATGCCCGCAACCAAGGTACATGCCCTTGACCAGAATCGAACCTGGGACCTTTCAGTCCCCAAGCCGACACTCTATCCATTGAGCCAAACCGGTTTCGGCTATCTGTGCTGTTTTTAAACTTACAAAGAATTGAAAAATTTTCTCAAAATAACATTTTTTAAGAACAAAAAAAAAAAAAATGCCCCTCCCCCAACAAAAAAGTTCTATTGTAAATAGGACCCAAAGAAGAGGCTAGGAATTGCAGGAAGAAAAGAAGAGAAGGAGAGAGAGACCCGTGGAACCATCACACAGTAAGAATAACCACTTATAAATGTCTGAACTACCTGCAATTATCTGTAATCTATAAAATGGCTTTAGGGACTCATGATCTTCCTATAATTATATATTAGCATCTATGAGTAAGTTTCTGAGGTTTTATTAGAGAAAAACACTTCAGAATCACTAATCCTACCTAATAAAAGAATAATATGCAAATTAACTACCTCATCACTCTGCTACACCAAGCCATGCCAACAAACCACACCCATCAGCCAATCAGAGTGAGTATGCAAATAAACCCAACCAAGATGGCTACAGCCACAGAGAGCAGGAGAGGCTTGGGTTTCCCAGGCAATGGAGAAAGCCAAGCTTTCCGCTTGCCCTTGCAGGCCTAAGCCTCCATTTAAGGTTACAAAATTGCAATTATAGAAGGTAAACAAATCCAAACAGAAATGGCAGCAGCCACAGAGCTGGAAAGAGCAGGACGCTAGGGTTGACTACTGCAATGGAAGAAGCAAAGCTTTCTGCACACCCTGGCCCTTAAGGCTACAAAGTTTTCAATTATAGAAGGTACATAAGTCCCAATAGAAATGGCTGCCACCCACAGAGCAAGCAGGAGGCTTGGATCCACTCCAGGCTACAAAGTTTCAATTGTAGAAGGTAAATAAATTCCAGATACCAGGGCCTTCGCTTGGGTCACCAGGGGGTATGGCCAGCCTGCAAACCACTAGAGGCCCCTCACTCAGGCTGCCCCACATCCCAAGGGAACTCCCACCCTGATCCAGAATATTCTTCAGGGCAAACCAGCTGCCCCCCACCCATGCACCAGGCCTCTAATCTATCTAATAAAAGAGTAATGTGCAGATTGACCATCACTCCAACACACGAGATGGCTGCCCCCATGTGGCCAAAGATCCTGCCTTCATGTGAACACAAGATGGCCACTACAAGATGTCCAGCAGGGGAGGGCAGTTGTGGGTGATCAGGCAAGCAAGGGAGGGCAGTTGGAGGCGATCAACCCCGCAGAGGAGGGAAGTTGGAGTCAAACAGGCTGGCAGGGGAGCAGTTAGACATCAATCAGGATGGCAGGGGAGTGGTTAGAGGGTGATCAGGCTATCAGGCAGAAGTGGTTAGGAATAATCAGGAAGTCAGGCAGACGAGCAGTTGGGAGCCAGCAATCCTGGATTGTGAGAGGAATGTCCAACTGCCCAGTGGGATCGGACCTAAATGGGCAGTGGGACATCCCTCAATGGGTCCCAATTTGGAGAGGGTGCAGGCTGGGCTCAGGGACACCCCACCTCTGTGCACGAATTTCATGCACCGGGCCTTTAGTAAAATATAAAAAAAGATCATCTAAAGCAGTGTTTCCCAAAGTGTGGTACCCATACACCCAGGGGTATGGGAAGAGTTTGGTGGGGGTATGCATTGCACTGGAGTTTGGTGGAAACATGCACTTCACTGTGCTTAGCTGTGCCTAATTCTACGTTCTCATGAGTACAAGGGGTACTCAGTGTTACGAAAATTATAGAAGGGGTATACATATGTCAAAAGTTTGGGAAACAGTGATCTAAAGTAACAGAAAATAAAATCATGTACAACTTTCTAACATTGATAATGACAAATCTAAGTACAAAAGATAGGTTGGGCCAAAACTGGTTTGGCTCAGGGGATAGAACGTCAGCCTGTGGACTGAAGGGTCCCAGGTTCGATTCTGGTCAAGGGCAGTACTTTGGTTGCAGGCACATCTCTAGTAGGGGGTGTGCAGGAGGCAGCTGGTCGATGTTTCTCTCTCATCGATGTTTCTAACTCTCTATCCTTCTCCCTTCTTCTCTCCAAAAAAATCAATAAAATATATATTTTTTAAAAAGATAGGTTAGATGTACAAAAAATGCAAACAAAAATACAATCAAATGAAAAAGAAAAATACTGAAAACAGTTGCAACAAACATGACTTGGAATTAATATTTATGATTTTCAAACAAATTTTTAAACACTATAAAAAAACCAATGTGCTGAAAATGGAACAGAAGTTCTGCAGCAGAACATGTAACAAGAGGAAAGGCCAGGAAAGAAGATAGTTGCCAATGGGAAGGCAGACTGCAAGATAGTGTGTGTGTGTGAGAAAATAAAGGGAGAGTATGTGGTTACACAGGGAGTGTTTGTTGGTGAATTGAAGGACAGCTATACTCCAGGAGACAGTGGGGGACTGCTCGGAGACTGCTGGGCAGGGCTCCCCTGACTGGGCAGTCCCCACTGCTGCTGGGTTTCCTCCCGGAGCAACTGGCTCAATGCAGAGACCACGCCATCTTGAAGGGGAAAGTGGATGTTATTGGAAACCTGAAAAGCCCTGGGAATCTACAACTACGGCACCCACTGAACAGCTGTGAACCCGAGAACACTGGTCCCCATGTGGCGCAAGCATGCAGATTCAGAGGAGCTCTACGCTCTCTCACAGAAAGGTCAGATTTCGCCTGGGATAAGGAGAGAGAGAACTACATAACCAGACACCCAGATAAGAAAGAGCATGGGGAGGCAAAGAAACAGCCCACCTATGAAAGAAAAGCAGGCCTCACCAGCAAAAGAAGTAAACGAAATGGAGGCAGGCAACCTGTCAGAGAAAGAATTCAGAGAAATGGTCATAAGGTGGATGAAAAGAATAGAAGACAAATTCGACAATACGTGTAAGAACCAAGAGGAAATGAAGAAGAACCAAGAAGAAACGAAAAATGACATCGCTGCTCTAAAGAACTCAATAGAAAGCATCAAGAGTAGACTAGAAGAAGCAGAGGGCCACATCAGTGAGCTAGAAGACAAGGTAGGAAAAAAATACCCAAGTAGAGCAGCTTCTAGAAGAGGAAAGACCAGCTAATCTATGAAATCCTAGACTTCCCTAAGGCTGTCACAGAGCAGAAGTCCTATTGCAGTGGCATGAACTGCTCCCGACGAGTGACAAGTCCCACCAAGAGAAGACAAGACACATGACCTACTGCTCCCTTTAGTAGAGCATGAGAGCAAGAAAATACTGCAATAAAGGCAGAAAGGAAGAAACAGCTAAAATGCTTTTAAAATGCAAAAGGCTGAGCAAGGACCAGTATGACTGGGAGCCCAGACACCAGGGATTCGGCACTCACTCACAGTCAGGCCTACAACAGCTGCTCAGAAGAAAGATTGGAAGCAGGTCTGGAGACTTGAGAGTGAGCTCTCCTCAGTGGTGCACAGGCATCAAACTCTCCTATCTCCCTGCACCCTTGGCTCACAAAACACAGGCCGTAAGCTGACAGGGAAGGACAGGAAAGCCTCCCAGGATCCCCTGTATGTGGGGAAGGGGTAGAAGCAAATATGGTGCCAAAGGGAGGGAGGTGGAGGAACTCCTGGCCCAGGATCTGCTGATGCATGTGAGGACACAGAAACCTCCCCCTCCAAAGCCTCCCAGGTTCAAAGAATACGCTAGCTACCATGGTATGCCCTTATGTATCTTAACTGAAAAAAATATATAATAATGCCAAGTTGTAAAGACGAATAAGTCAAGGCTGAGTTTTCTCTGTTAGGTACTTCTGTGGTAAAATTACTGGTAAAATAAAAGATTACTGGCTCTCAAGCCTCCTGTAGGTTACACTGATAGGTATTTCATATATTGTGCATACACAGTGTATCCCCTCCCCCGCCCCCAATACCTAGCACAGCAACCTATACATACAGAAAACCGTTGACACTATAAAGAATTTAAAAATACAGACATTCCTCCACATTACCTCCACTTTTGCGGGGGGGGGGGGGGGGGTGTGTCCTGGGTATGCTATAAATAGAAACAGTCCTCTGGTGATTCCCGCTCTGTCCTCCTCTTACCCGCTCCTGCAGAAGCTCCACAACCTGCTGGACACAGTCATTCACATCACAGGAGTCTGTCTTCAGCACCAGCTCAGGGGCCTCTGGCTTTTCATATTCAGAATCAATCCCGGTGAAACCTATAAAAGGTACCAGATAATAAAGGAAGGCAGAAATTAAAAGCACACACACAAACACACACACACACACACACACACACACACACACACACACTGAGTGGCCAGATTATTATGCATTCATAAAGTGTATATTGTTCATTCATTATCACTGAACTCATGACCAACAGCATTCTAACTCATGCTTGCGGGAATGAAGTATATCTAACACACATTTCTCTGTAAGGCACATGGCAGCCTTCCTGAACTTACTAGACTGCAATTCAGCACTAGGCTTGGGGCCACTTTAAACAGCAAAATCATCAACAAAAAGCACCCCAGAAATGCAAAAACCATGATACTAAATAAGCCACAAAAAGGACACTTCTTTACAGTATGATAGAGGAAACAAAGACCAAATGTCACCTTGTTCAACTTCAATTAGGAATGTGTGCTCCGGATGACTAAATTTTTGCCTCTCTGCGCATGTCCACAAATGACTGCTAAAGTGCCGTCAGTACACATGTGGGGGTTACAAATAAATTTTAGTGAGTAAGCCAACCCGCAAATATGGACTCTTCAATTAATGAGGATCAACTATACTTCTGCTTTTTTTTTTTTTCTTTTTAAATGTCTAAACTGCCTGTGAAGACACAGGAATTAACACCAGGCAAAAGGAGCACCTCATTTCTCCACAGAAATACAGAATATAGTACCTCTACTCTAGGCATGAAACTAAAATTGGTAAGGTTTTTCCTCTCAATGCAGAAACGAACACCTGATCAGTCTGTCCACAGAGATTATGCAGGCTCCCCCTTGCCACCAGCTTAAGTGTTCAGGCAAGACAAATTAACCACTCTTAGCTTAAACAAAACACAAACCAGGAGGGCAATCCTGTTCTATCACAAAATGTATCTCACAATCAAATTTAGTTATTAACCACTATTTAAGATTCTCCCATTGTGACTGCCAAGAAAATAAAGAACACGTGATGTTTTCCCAGAATGGGCTAGCTGAGCTGAAGACCCGTTCTTCCTGTCTCCCACTTCTGCACCACCCACACACATAAGTCATTCAAGGCCTGCCCACCTTGGAATGCTTAGGTAAGCCTTGGATTAGAAGGATGAACATGAATTTAACATCATTACTATTAAGAGGTACAGTTCCCAAAAGTGTTCTAAATATACACTACAAGTCTATAGTGTCCTCTTATTTCACTTTTTTCCTATCTAATATTTCTAAGTATCACATGAAGTCCTAAACCCAGGAATAAATTTCTGATTTACTAACATTTCCAGCAGTATTTAGTGGTGAGTCACAATAAAACAGCCGGGAGGGAGGGAGGAATAATTCTGGTTAAAACCCTAGTTCTTAAGCTCTGATTCTCGAATGTGGCCATACACTGGGATCATTGTGTCCTATTCCCATGAGATTCTGATTTCATGAGTCTAGGGACAGCATTGGCACTAGAGTTTTATAAATTCCTACAAGTAATGCTAATTGTCAAGCAGTAAAGCTTGACAATCAGTATGTTAGAAAACTTGGCTTAACATTCTACTAGTCGAGGAATTCTCTTCCAAGCTAACTTACCCCGTAGATGAGGATAATACACTAACACTGTAAGAAAAACATTTATATTTCAGCAGTTAATAACTACATGAGCAATAATCATGAAAATACTCTAGGCATTAGAATGGCTGATAGAGTGATATATTTACAGTTTAATAAAAGCCAAATGACCTATAAAATCCTGAGACCTGCTGGATGTATGCAATTTCATCTGTCCTTGAATGTATATCATCAAGGCCCCAAAACAACACTAACAAGTACCTTTTTAAGTGTCATCTAACAAGAAATTTTTATTATCAAATTTATCATTTATATATCAAACAAATGAACAATCAGAACTCCAGCACCATAGGAAACCTAAAATAAATGTGGGTACACATACATACATATTTTAACCTGAGGAGCATCTTATCAATGTGTGCACAAAAGCATTGAGAACAGGAAATTAAACAAGTAACACATAGAAAACTAAGCTAATACAAACACACTCTCAGATGTAGAATACAAATTCAAAGTGACTCAAGGAACTTTAGATAAAATCTTATTCATCATTACATCCCCAACTCCAAATATATTCCTTGCCAAAAGCAAATAGCAAGGGTTGATAAATGGGTGTTGTCATCTGATTTCCACTCCCCCTTCTAATCCATCTGAAAAGCATTTACTATGTGTTTGCCAGGCATTACGCTTTGGGCCACTGTGCTACCCTCTAACATTATGAAAACACACAAGGTGGTGTCCCTGCTTTCAAGTCGTTTACTCCAGCCCAGCAGACACATCTACCTCCCTCAATGAAACATCTTTACAAAACAAAACCAACGACAATTAAAAAAGTAAAAAATGTAGACTTCAGGATCCTGGACACATTTTGCTTCTCTTCGTCAAAACTCTATTACAACAAACTGCCCTTCAACAGGGAGAGAGTGATATAGAAGTTAAGGGGTGAAATTGGTTTCCCTCCCATGGTCACACATTATCCTGTGCTTTTTGAGTCAAACAAGTGACAGCTTACCAATTGAAACTGAGTCTCCATGGGGCAGGACAGGACCCCAACCTGGCCCAAGGACCCAGATTTCCCACAGCAGGAGGATTTTGACCCAACCGCTAAAGTTTCCCCATGTCCAAAATACAGAAGAGCCCAGAATGACAAGCATTTTCCTTCTCATTCCACCTTTTCCTTTTCAGACCCAGAAGCTGAATGCCACCATCTATAATTCACAGAGCTCCTGGAACTCCTGCGAAAGTCCCAGGCAATCGCACTTCCTGTGAGGGAGGTAAACAAAAGCTACCTGCATGAATCATTGATTCCTATATGAGGTTGACTGTGTAATCTACCTTTGATTTTTTTCTTTTTAACACTGCATGTGCTCTATTTCTGTTAATAATAGAACAGGACTAATGTCAAAGTTGTCTAGAAGATAAATAATATAATTGATATCAAAGGCCACAGCAGACGAGATCTAAATGTCTCCTTCTATGTCCAAATGCTCATCACAGCTGAAACTCTTGGAGAAGACCATAAAACCTAAAAAGCAAGGTGTGTATATTTTGTGAAAACAGTGATATGTTAATCCAATCCAATTCAACAATTGTACATAGAATGAATAAGCCATCATTCCAAGCACAAGAACAAGACATTGTTCTTGCTCTCAGGATGCTTAAAATTCAGGCATTTTTCCCACTGGCTCTGAAATGTTCTACATTATCAATGGAACAAAGGGCTGTAATAGCAGCAGCTCGCCTTTGATATCCCATCTAATGCCAGGCAGCTAATTATACCAAGGAGTTTCCACCAGCCCCCAAAGTCCCAACACTCTAAAATTCTGTCTTCTGATTAGGATTCCAACCGGATCAGTGATAGTCACTGTGAATACAAGTGCCAGTTCCTCTCCTGGGTCTGAGAGCTACCACCGTGTATTAAGACCCACTTTCTCTCTCAAGAAGCTCCAAGTCATTTAGATATCCCCAATCTCTTATAAAAGATATGAAATTGATATAGTAAGATAAAGTATCTAAGCGAAGAGAAACTGGGGGGAAATGTTACTTACCTTTAATTTCTCCAGCCCGTGCTTTTTTATAGAGACCTTTGACGTCCCTCTGTTCACAAACATGCAGAGGAGCATCAACAAATACTTCAAAGAAAGGTAAACTCGCACCCTCGTGGATCTGCCTCGCATTGTTGCGATCCTTAGAAAAAAAGATGGGTACAGAACAATAAAAAGTGTGTATACAAATCAAAAGTACTATATGAATATCAAAGATGAGTAAAAAAATAAATACATTAGATAAAATCCATAACAATTTTTAAAAGCATACAATTCTTAAAATGAGATGTTGGGGGAATTCAAGGAGGGAAAAGTAACAGATGCCCCATAAAAACTTCCATTTGATTGTATGAGGAACCTGAGCCAGAGCACAGCTTGAATACAGGATCATCAGGCCTCTCCCTAATGTCCAACCTCAGCCTACACGAGGGCCATTCAGAAGTCTGAGGCTAGTTTATTCACTTGCCAGATGCAAACCCCTCATCTATAGATGTTTGGGCGTATGCTCTTACCACCTCCCTGGCAGGAACACCTCTCCACACACCCACTCTTCTGGCTAACGCAAGGTGCTCCCTCACAGCATATCCCCAAGGTGGCATCCTCCAGGAGGCCTCCCGGGCATGCCCAAACTGAGGGTCCTTGCTCTCTCCAGCTTCCCAGATGTACCCACCATGTACCTCTGTCATAGATCTTATTCCCATATATTAAAATCATTTCACTAGCTTTATAGCCATAGTGTCTGGCAGAGTGATTACTAAGTTGTGATCTTACTGCTCCAGCTATCCTTTCAAAGAAGGTGCTCGAGTTTCCATCAGCAGCCCTCCTCTCATTCTGTACGCTCTTCTGTATACTCAACTTTATTTAGGTTTCAACTAAGGAAGTGAATGATAATTAAACCTGCATCTCAATTCTACTTTCCTGGGCTCCAGAACCAATGTTCCCATGATCATCTCCATTAGCACTTTAAATCTAACCCACCTGAAGTGAATACTCAACCTCTCCCTTTCTATCCTGTATTTTCTAACTTAATAATTCCATCTTTAATCAGAAAGCAAAAGCCTTCACTCCTTAGCTGCTCTCCCTGCAAAAAAAAAAAAAAAAAAAAAAAAGAAGAAGCAATAATTAACCAGACACCAAGTCTGCTATTGCTAATGGCTCACCAGCCCTTCAATATGTCCATTCCCAAATGCCTCCTAACCAGTCTTCCACCTCCAGGACATTCTCATCCAGGTTCAAAGGTTCCTCACTAAGGTGCAAACTCAATGACAACATTCCCCAACATTCTTGAACTGTTAACTACCCCAAGGGTCTGCAAATTGCTCTAGCTTCATCTCCCCTCACATTCACCCTGCACAGCAGCTTTACCAACCTAGAGTCCTCCAAAGGCCAAATGCCCTCACATTTCCATGCCTTTGTAACCCCTGTGTCTGAAACAGCCTGCACCCTCCAGTCTAACTGGTTTACTCTGATTCATCCTTTGTGACTCACTTGCGGCGCCTCATCTGTGAATCTTCCACAGAACTTCTTATATATTAGGTCTAGTAATAATTAATGTCGTTTTCTAATACTTTTTAAATCGAATTTATTTAAACAATACAATAAAACTTAATCAACAATATAGTTGCCGTTGTTTTCTACTACTTGTGCCCAACGCTCAGGAAGCATTTGAATCCCTCTGGTGTAAAATTCTTGTGATTTTGATGCAAAAAATTCGGTCAATGCATTTTTGAGGCATTCTTCATTATTAAATTTTTTTTCCAAGAAGAAAGTTTTGCAAAGAACGAAACAAATGGTAATTGGAAGGGGCAATATCAGGAGAATGGAGAATATGCAAGTTGAGGGAGAACTTCCCATTCCAACTGGCGCAGTTTTTCAGCAGTGATTCTTGCAGTATGCGGTCGTGCATTATCGTGGTGAAGAATTACGCCCTTCCGATTAATCAGCGCGGGTTCTTTTTCTCTTAAAGCTTGGGCTAACCTTTCCAGTTGGGCACTATAGACTGCACTTGTAATGGTTTGGTTAGATGGTAAAAGTTCATAATGAAGAATTCCTTTAAAATTCCACCAAACACACAACATCACTTTTTTCGCATGCAAGTCAGGTTTTGGCGTGGGCTGCGGAGCCTCATTTTTGTCCAACCATTGAGGCCACCTTTTCAAATTAACATACAGCACCCATTCTTCATCTCCGGTAACAATTTGCTCTAAAAACGGCAAACGGTTTTGACAAGAGAGGAGCGAACTGCAAATTGTGACTCTTTGATTACGGTTGTTGTCGGTCAACTCATGAGGAACCCATTTTCCAAACTTTTGGACTTTGCCAAGTGCACGCAATTGATTGGAAATTGTTTTTTGTGAACAATTTAAAGTTGTCGCAAGCTCTTGTTGGGTAATTTGAGGATTTTGCACCAAAAGAGCTTGAAGAGCTTCTTGATCAAAATTGGACACAAGGCCTCGACCACTCTTAGCATCTAACAAAAAATTTCCCTCGCGAAATTTCTCAAACCAACGCTGGCATTTTCTGGCGCTAACTGCATCATGACCAAGAGCACTACAGATGTTTTTTGCAGCCTCACTTGTTTTTCTTCCTAATTGGAACTCATAAAGCATGCAGTGCCGAATATGCTCTTCATCCGCCATCTTCTTAGCCCTAGTTTTGCAACAAAAACCAAACCAAACAAACTTTTTCAAGCAAAACTTGTTAATTGCACTTCACACGTTCTGTAGATACCACGTATTTGAAGGTTATGTCAATACAAGTCAACGCCAAGCAAGATTTTAAACGAATGTTTAAAAACGACATTAATTATTACTAGACCCATTCACCTCTTCACTTGCCTCAAGACATTATGACTGTTCACATCTGTATGTTCCTCCCAGATTACCTAGCATACCAACTCCTTGACAGGAATGATTAGGTTTATTTTAGAACGAAGACGCTCAAGTTCAGTGGTGACATGGAAAAATGCACATGTCCTATATTACATTATTCTATCCCAATGGTAACACAGATTCTCATTTGTCCTAAGCACCATCCAAACCTCATTCTTAATGCTTCAAGAGATGAGAGCAACAAAATTTTTGCTGAGAGCTTTGAATGCAATCTTCAGAGCAACCTTATGAGGCAAGCATTATCAGAGCTTAGGAAGGTTAAGTAAACTGGCCAGGGTCATAACTGCAATAGAAAGAGCTGACATCTCAGCCCACTGTGTCTGTTTCCAAAGCCCTTGCCGTTAATCACTAAACGAACTTGCCTCTTCTTTGACATCTGGGCTTCCTAAGGAGCTATCACCTAACAAACATTAAATATCTACTGTGTTCCAAGAACATCGCGTGGCATCAATATTGCAAAGATAAATAAGATGTAGTCCCAGCCCCAAGAGGCAGCAAAGAACTGCAGAGAAGAGCATGGGCTCCAGGGGCACTGTGTGGATGCAAACACCTGCTGTGGTTGGTAATTTACACCTGTTTCCTCACCTCTACCTTCCCTACTGGGTGACAAGTACTAAATGAGCACTATAAAACAGTTACTAGTACAAAGCAACAGTTCAATGAATGTTAGGTCTATTATCACTAATATTTTTGCTACCACTACCTCTGCTGCTGCTGCTGACATAATCACCACCAACCAAGGAACTGGTATTTATAACTAACAATGTGTTAAAGTACAATAATGAGGACACTACAGAGAGGCACCCAACAAAGCCTGAGGTTCTTAAGAAAAGGAAGGTATTCATGGAGGAGGAGATATCTGAATCTCAAAGCATGAACAGGACTGGGTGATGCTGAGAAGAGGGGGATAGCAGGAAGGAGAAGAGTGCCTCTCAGATGGGAGAAACAAAAATCTTGCAGTGAGAAAAAGAGATTTTCAGAGAAATACAAAATAGTCATCCAATGTTGCTATGGTCTCTGACGTAAGAAGAATATGATGAAAGACGGATCTTAATAATTTTGAGCCGGGACCGGTTTGGCTCAATGGATAGAGCGTCGGCTTGGGGACTGAAGGGTCCCAGGTTCGATTCCGGTCAAGGGCATGTGCCTTGGTTGCGGGCATATCCCCAGTAGGAGGTGTGCAAGAGGCAGCTGATCGATGACTCTCTCTCATCGATGTTTCTAACTCTATCTCTCTCCCTTCCTCTCTGTCAATCAATAAATCAATAAAATATATTAAAAAAAAAAAAAAAAGAATTTTGAGCAAAGAAGCTAACACGGTAGAACACATGCTAAGAAACAAGATTTCTCCTGGTATTTGATACCCGCTGAGTATTTTCTATAGGCATACTGAATTAAAAAGTCAGCTTGGCTTAAAGACAATGACTTTGGTTACACTTTTTGGGGGAAAGAGTTTATAGCAGGTTTTATAAAAAATGAGTTTACTCAGAAAAGTCATGGCACAAAAATGTGGTAGGTTAATTCTTTTTAATTTGGATTTAGCCTCAAAGCAAATGTTAATGCTGAAACTATTTGCCATGTTCCCAATACATGTATTTAGCCCAAAGTCACATACCTGAGTATAAGGCGATATGAAACTTGTGATGCATACTAAGCCAGCATCTGCAAACAACTTAGCCACTTCTGCAATGCGTCGCACGTTCTCTTCTCTGTCTTCAGGACTAAAGCCAAGATTTTTATTGAGGCCTTGACGAATGTTGTCACCATCCAAAGTATAGCATGGAATACCATGGCAAACTAAGTACTCCTCCAAAGCCATGCTCACGGTGGTCTTCCCTGCTCCAGATAAGCCTAAAATTACACAGTACACAGAGATGTCATTCATCAAATCAGAAGGATGAGTTAGTAATAAAGAATTTTAATACAGACTTAATTACATTCATTATTCACAGCAGTCTCTCAGTAACAACCTTACAAATATTTCTCTATAAGATTTACCTCTAAGCTAGAAAAATATCTGTAGTTTAAATATAATAATCACTTATGTTTTTAATAACTCCTCTATCTATGCCCAAAGGTGTCCTAGAAATCACTGATGAACTTCAAAGAGCTTAACCAATTTTAATATTAGACAAGGTTGGATAGGTATTCCCTTTGTCTTCTTGTTACCACTATTCTAAAGCTGCCCACATTACTTCAGTATGCCCAAATTACTTCTGACAGGAGAAGAAAAAGAAAAGACAAAAGTAAGTGAAATATTATTGTTACCTCTATATCCCAAGATCATCACCTCTGATAGATAAAAGTATCTGGGAATCCAATTTATAACATAATTAACCTTGAAAGAATATCCTCATTTCAACCCACTTGCCTCTACCAATGATGTTACTTCACTAACCAACAAGAAGGAACGAATGAAAGAGCACATTTATGCACTCATACTTGCCACCTTGGGGAATGTGTAATTGTAGAATTCATAACTAAAGTAGCTATGAAGCAAGAGACAGAATATTGAAGACTAATGTACTGACATTCTGGAAAGAAGTCGTGGTAGTATGGAAGACTAACTGAAAAAAAAGAAAGAAAAAAGATATGTTGAGAGGATTAATTCAAAACTAATTGTTTTAAACATTAAAAACTTATATGAAGAGCCACATCAAAATTACAATTAAAATACAGAACAACCAGCATCCAGAACTGCCAGAAAGCTGGCTGAATGGAAGTCCTACAACTAGAGAAGTAAAGAAGAAAAGCACACTGAGACTGCTGGAGGTGTGGAGGCCCATAATGGGTCAGTCCAGCACCCACTTGGGTCACTTTTAATCAGGAGGGAGATCATCTATGCAGAGGCCACCCAAAGAAGCAAGGAGTCCCAGCCCCACGCCAGATCCCCAGGCCAGGGTTCCAGAGCTGGGAAAATAAGTCTCTAAGGGCAGTAAGAATTACAAGCTGTAAAAACCAGTGCAGACTGGGGCTCAGTGACACAGAGGCTGCTGGAGTTACAGTTGTTCCTCTTAAAAGGCCAGCACCACAAACTGAACTTATAAGGTCCTACTTCCTCTGAGCTCCAGCACTAAGGCGAGGCTCTGGGGACCATAGATACATGCGAGGAGGAACTGGATTGTCTGGCATCAGGGCAGGAACTCAGGGTGGCTTTCTCCCAGATGGAGGTGCTTGCAGGGATGATAATTCCTATGCTGGGACCTCCCTGGTGCAGGGCTGAGTGGCAGCCATTTCTGTTTGCTCCACCCTGGTGATTCCCTAAGACCCTGCCTCATCCAATTTACAATGCCACCCAAGCTGTGTGCGTGGCTTTTGCATATGAATGGCCTGTCCTTGCTCGGGCTAAAATCTCTCAAACAAGCTATAGCTGGGTCAGGGAGCCCCAAACCTATCAATAAAAGGCCCAAGACTGGCACCAGCACCAGTCTGCCATGCTCTCAAACCTAATACAAAAGAGGAGGAATCTGCAGATCTCTCTGTAGCTCCAACCTGGTAGCACCAGGCAGTAGCTGACTTTGCACCTCCCTGGAGATCCAAGAGCCAGGGTACCCAATGGTCAATGTCAGGCCATATCAGATTACAACTCTTCACATCCATAAGGCACCGACTCAGTGAGCACCATAGCCCCACTGAAGCAAGTCCTGCTCATAGGGGTGTCTTCTGCACAGCAGCTCTCTCACTGTAGGTGCAGCTGGTCCTCACAGCCACTTGGCCTGGAGGTTAATTCCTCCCTGTAAAACCAACAGCAATCAAGTCTCAACTACAACAAGACTGTGCTCACAGGCCACAAAGAGGTGCACCTAGAGCTCCCAGCTGAGCCACTAGGCCCTTTGGAACACCTACTATACAAGGCCACTCTACCAGCTGAAGGAGATATAGTAGCTCTACCCAATGCATAGAAACAAACAGAGGAAGCAGCCAAAATGCAGAGAAAAAGAAACATGTCACAAATGAAAGAAATGGAAGAAAGCAAACTACTGAATATAGAATTCAAAACCATGATTATAAGGTTCCTCAAGAATCTTCTAGAAACCACCCCCCACCCCCCAAAAAAATAGAAAAGGACCAATCAGAATTAACAATACACTGACTGAAATAAAGAATAATATATAGGGATTCAAGAGTAGAATAGAGGATTTGGAGAATCAAATCAATGATTTGAAATATGAGAAAGCAAAAAACACCCAACCAGAAGAGCAAAAAGAAAAAAGAATCCAAAAACATGAAGATAGTGTAAGGAGTCGCTGGGACAACTTTAAGCATACCAACATTCACATTATGGGGGTGCCTGAAGAAAAAGGGAGAGCAAGATATTGAAAATCTACTTGAAAAAATAATGACAGAAAACTTCCCCTCTCTGGTGAAAGAAATAGACTTACAAGTCCAGGAAGCACTGAGAGTCCCAAACAAGAGGAACCCAAAGAGGACCATACCAAGACACATCATAATGAAAATGCCACGGGCTAAAGACAAAGAGAGAATCTTAAAAGCAGCAAAAGGGAAAACAGTTAGTTACCTACAAGGGAATGGCCATTCGACTGCCAGCTGATTTATCAACAGAAATTATGCAGATCAAAAGGGGGTGCCAAGAAATATTCAAAGTGATGAATAGCAAGGACCTAAAACCAGTATTACTCTACCCAGCAAAGCTATCATTTAGAATTGAAGATCAGATAAAGAGCTTCACAGAGAAGAAAAAGCTAAAGGAGTTCATCACTACCAAACCAGTATTATATGAAATATTGAAGGTATTATTTAAGAAGAGGAAGAAGAAAAAGATTTTTTTTTTAAAATGAACAAAATGACAGCAAATGCATACCTATCAACAACTAAATCTAAAAATCAAAATAAACAAATAAGAAATCTAATGAACAAAATAAACTGATGAATAAAATAGATTCAGAGGCAATGAAAATGGAACAGACTGACGATTCTCAGAGGGAAGGGATATGGGGAAGGTGGGAAGAAATTAAAGATATTATATGAATATATCCATTACCTATGGACACAGACAATAGGGTGTTAAAGGCCTGGGCTAGGGCAGGAACCAGGTGGAGGAGGGCAATGGGGGAAAAAAGAGGAACATCTGTAATAATCTCAACAATAAAAACTCATATGAGTATAGCATAACGTTATATTTTCCAAAGATGGCCACAACAGCTATTTCCCATCCTGAAAGGTTTTCTACAATGTGACATTGACACTCTCACATCACTGCCCTTGAATCTAGGCCGGCCATAGGGCTCACTTGTGGCCAAAAGAATGTAGTGAAACAATGACATATCATCTCACACCTGTCAGAATGTTTATTTTAACTAAATGAACTTTAAACTAAACAAACAAAACAGACTCATAGGTATAAAGAACTGATAGTTGCCAGAGGGTTGGGTGGTAGAGGTGTGGGGAAAAAAAGGCAAAGGGGATTAGGAGGTACAAACTTATAATTATAACACAAATAAGTCAAGGAGCTACAAAATACAACACAGAAAACACAATAAATAATATTATAATAACTTTATACAGTCATCACAGTTACTAGACTTCTCATGGTGATCACTTCATAAGGTATATAAATGTCAAATCACTGTTGTATACCTGCAATTAATATAATATTGTAGCCAAAACCCATTTGGCTCAATGGATAGTGTGTCAGCCTGTGGACTGAAAGGTCCCAGGTTCGATTCCAGTCAAGGGCATGTACCTTGGTTGCGGGCACATCCCCAGTAGGAGGTGTGCAGGAGGCAGCTGGTTGATGTTTCTCTCTCATCGATGTTTCTGACTCTCTATTTCTCTCCTTTCCTCTCTGTAAAAAAATCAATAAAATCTATTAAAAAAAAAAATATATATATATATACATATATATTTATATATATTGATATATATTGATATATATATATTGTATATCAACTAAAATTAAGAAGAGCTTTACATCCCAGAATTTAAAAAAAAAGAATGTACTGATGTACTGAAAATGACAGTGTGTGACTGCCAAGACTGGACTAAAAAAGGCGATGCAGCTTCTCTTTGAACACTTAATTTGAGAAAAACCAGCTGTTCAGTACTCTGGGATCACAAGCAGGTGATTAGCTAAAATCCCAGCTGACAAGCATTGTCAGTTGAATCATCTCACACACACAGCCCAGTTGAGCCCTAAGAAGACTGCAGCCCACACCAGTGTGACCTCAACCAAGCAAGACCTACCTGCTCTCCTGAGCCCTTCTGAATTCCTTACCCACAAAAGGGTGAGCAAATTAAAATTGTTTTTTACACCGCTGGGTTTTGAATATATTGTGAGACAGCAATAATACTGAAACAAAGAGATTAACGTTTTTGTTGTTTTGCACTACCAGCTGAGCGACAAATTTCAAAAATAAAAAACTGAAACATGAAAATCTAAACTTGTTATAACATAAAGACAACCTAAATTATAAGGAAAGCCTATTCACATGTGTATTATATTTATATATTTTACAAATTTTAGAGGCCCAGTGCACAAAATTCATGCACATGGAAGAGGGGTGTCCCTCAGGCCAGCCTGCACCCTCTCCAATCTAGGAGCCTCGAGGGATGTCAGACTGCCTGTTTAGGCCAGATCCTGTTAGTCTCACAATCCAGGACTGCTGGCTCCCAACTGCTCGCCTGCCTGCCTATCTGATTGCCCCTAACCACTTCTGCCTGCCAGCCTGATCACCCCCTAACCACTCCCCTACCAGTCTGATTGCCCCTAATTACCCTCCCCTGCTGGCCTGGTCACCCCTAACTGCCCTCCCCTGAAGGCCTGGTCACCCCTAATTGCCCTCCACTACAGACATGATCACCCCTAACTGCCCTCCCCTGCAGGCCTGATC